GGGGTAAGGCCTTGGGGGGAGGGGGGGGTAAGGCCTGTGGGCTCAGGGCTCCCTGCCCTGCTGCCCTCCCCCTGGGGGTTCCACAGCCCAGCAGGCAGGACCCGGCACAGGAGGAAGTGTTGAGTTGCCATGGCCGCCAAGGTGAGGTGCCCCCTGGCTATGTGGCAGCAGCAGGTGGCACAACTCCACGCTGCCACACCTCACCTTGGCAGTCATGGCAGCATGGTGCTCCCTCCTGCACCAGGTCCCGCCCACTGGGCGGCAGAGACATCTCCTGCCTGGAGCTAATCTGGCCCCGCTGCAGTGCCATGACGCACTGTAGGGGCAGAAATCTTAGGGGAGCATGTGCCGCCCCGCTACATCGCCCTGGCCCCTGCCCCACTCCCCTCCACCTCATTGCCTGTTTTCCTGCCACATTCCCTATGCCCCCCCACCCCCAACACATCACCTGTGACCTATTTACTGTGACCCCATCTGCTGATGCTGCCATCCCATTTGGGGTTGCAACGCACAGTTTGGGAACTGCTGCCACACACAGACTGTATACATCAGTATATTATCAATTTTCAAAATGTTCATGGCTGACTCCACTACACTGCACAGGTTGAAGCTGGCTTTGCTTATTCTGTCAAGACATCCTACAGGGTCATATCAGGTAACTGCTCTTAATATATGAGGGGCCATTCTTATCAGTCACCTTAAGTCAGTAATTCATAACTAGGATGTTGCAGCCCTGCATGGTGTGCAAACATGATTCCTCGGATAAACCCAGAGAATTCAAACAGGAATTCAGGAGGGTCAAAAAAACCAAACCAAAACAAAACCAAAACAAAAAACCCCATTCTGCCCTGTTGTGGTCTGATTTTTTGTAACAGAATAATTGCCCTATTCTTTTCCTGTAATCAAAAAACAAGTGAACACTAAGAGCTGTCTTTTCTGAGGGGTGCCTTGAGTCTAAAAAGGTTAACTGTTTGTACCCTAAGCAGTCAACATGTTCTACATCTTTAAAAGAGAGTAAATATAATGCTGTTAAGGGGCATTCACTCAGAATGTTATCCTTTTCAGCCCTGTTTTAAGTTCATGTTTCCTTTCCTTTATCTGTGCAGTAACTAAAACAAGAAGCTCCTTGCTCACGAACTGCAATGTTTAGTGGTTCTAAAGGGGAAGGATGGATTTGTGGTTAAGGTCATCCAGGTTCCATTCCTCTCTCACCTGCAGACTTTCATGTCGATTCAGACAAGCCACTTCACCTACATGCCTCCACTCAACTTCTGTAAAACAGGGATAACTATTTTTCCTTTTCTCCTTGTCCATTTAAATTATAAACTCAAAAAGGTGGAGGCGATTGGTGTTTGCTCTATGGACTGTATATGCTGGGGCCCCAATCTCAGTTGATACAAAACCACCACATTTATTTTCAAGTGTCTCTTCTGTAGCTCAGGGAACTTGTCTGGCAATACTTTCCCTTCAAATACATTATAACATTGGACTAGACCTTTACAGGAACAGTTCCCCCACCTTCCAGATGGAGAATAAATCACATGCATCAATCAATCTTGTCAAATAAGTTCCTTTCTTGTCAAGTATTATGGTCAGAAAAGACACTGAACTCAGCTAGTCTGCTGCATGCACATATTCATGTCTAATCTTAAAACACACTAAAAAGCTTCCCTTTTCTCTTTAAGCTTGTACTGCAGAGCCAGTACAACTACAGGAGAGAGTTAGATTCTGCTTCGGTCTGCAGCATCAGACTGTTCTTATTTACTTTAAGGGTACGCCTATATGGCAACTAAGGAGCGCAGTTAAAGTAGGCACACCTGTATTCACATTGTCCAGCTAGCACAGATTACAGTAGTGCAGGGGTAGGCAGCGTTTTTTTTGGCTGGAGTGCCGAAAAAACCACAAACGTCTACCTTGGAAGGTGCCAGAGTGCTGATATGTCAGAGCCTGGAGTAGCTGTTTGCAGCCTCCTGGCTGCAGCCAGCCCCTGGAGCCCAGTCTGTTTGTGGCAGGGCTTGCAGCCTCCCAGTTGCCTGCTGGGAGCAGCCTGGGTTTTGTGGCTGGCAGCAGCTGCTTAGAGCCTGGGCTGGCGGTGGTGTACCAAGCAAAATGGTCTTGCGTGCCAGGCTTGTACACTCCACTCTGAAGCCTGTGCTGCAGCATCTTTGTTGCTGTATGTTACACATGCTTCCTAGACTAGTTAGTTTGGATATTCTTACCTGTGTTGCAGTCACATCTTTGACTGCAGTGTACACATCTAAAAGCACACATATACCACTCTGGAAGCATAATTACATTTGAAGATACTGTGAATGCCCTTCACACTGCTCCAGGACTCACAAGGAACTTAATGAGAGAATCAGGCCAAGACATGGTGGTTACTAGCAGCAGTAAGAACCAAAACAACAAAGCTTACAATTCTGATCCCAGGTTGAACTGGCAAGGCTGTTAACATAGTAGTAGTGTCTGCAAACTGAACAACTTGGATATTGGGTCACAACAGTAAATGTGGACAAGCACGTGCAAAGCCAGTTTGAGACTTATTTTTCAGAAACATTTTAATACTCAGCTAATTTTCTGACTTATTGGGAACTACATGATATGCATAAGCATTCTGTTCAAGCTTGTGACAGGATTGGCTGAAGTCAAACAGAAAAGGCAGAAATCCTTGCCTTTGTTTACTAATTCCACTTTTTAGTCTAATGCAGCTTCTGAAATTCTACTGGGTTAGAGCTACAGGACACTTCTTTGTTGTCATATAATTTCTTTTTCCTCCCACCAATGAATCAACCACGCCATCTAGCCTTTCAGGTCTTTGCTAGGTCTTTCTTGTCCTCAAAGCAGGTGGCAGCTGCAGCTGGGTCCAAAGGCAACATATAGCCCTGCAACCTCCCCTCCTTGGTACCTGCACTGTTTACTTCCCTTGTTCAGGGCCACACTTCCATCCAAATCCAACAGTACAAAGCTATTCTGCCTCTAGCTCCTTCCACATTTTCTTGGTCCTGTATTTGGCAGTTCTGTCACCTCTCATACTTTGCATTCCCCTCTTCTCCAAGAGGTCCAGGTAGAGCTGCGGCAGAAGACAACTGTAGCTTTGAAACTCCCCTTTTGAAGACACTGGGTCCATAAAACTCTTGTTTTACAAGGAAAATCTACTCTTTTCAGGCAAATCACCTAAAGACTGGAATAAAACGAATGGATTCAAGCTGAAATTCCCTCTGCCAGTAGTTCTTAAGAAGGAAGTTTTTATAGTTTAGTGGAGCACTTCCCCACTGCGACAAAACAGGCCCACTGATTTTATCAAATACTTCTTTAAAGCTGCACTTAATGGTCCCAGCACAACCAATGTTGAAAAAAGAACAGCAGCAAGCAGTAGAAAACTAAAAAGCAGTATTGATTCGAAATATTAAAAACTGCCTTAAAAACTAGGTACTCGGTCAGCAATTGCTGTAGTTTGCATTAGTGGTTGCAGTG